CAACACGTGAGAATTTCCAGAAAGTTATGAATTAATTATAATTCACGTTGGATCTATCAGTTTTTAGATAAATCGATAAGCGATATTGTGATCCTGTAGATCGAAAGTGCACAATTAAGAAAAAGCATGTAAACATAACCTGCGAATTGCGGTTATTCTAAAAACAATGTAAAAAGAAAAATTAAAAAAAAATTTTAGAGATTTGTTCAATGTATATGAATTTATTAAATTATTTTAATTTTAAAAATACGAAATGTTATTTACATTCGAGAGATATGTAATTCGTGCCGGTACACGATATTTACGGCGATGTTTTTCAAACGATGTCGAAGTTTCGGCAAATAATCTGCAAGAATTTACTCCGCAATCCAATAAGAATTTCACGTTAGTACGTCGAGAAGATCAGAAATCTTTAAAGATCGCCTTTTTAGGCGCACCGAATGTAGGAAAAAGTACAATTGTCAATCAACTTATTAAGAGATCGGTAATCGTCATTTTTTATATATTTTATTTATATATTTATATTTGTAGAAAGAAAATTTTGTCTAATTATAAATTATTTTCTTCATATTTCTTGTCTGCATATAAAAAAATGAATATTTTGTAAAAGCGTGCTACTTATAAAAATATAAAATATAAAAATTTATATTTTTTTATATTTTTTGTTCTTTAGATATGTCCTGTGTCTTCCAAAGTTCATACTACACAAACCAAGGCAAATGGAATTTATTGCGAAGCTAATACTCAGCTGATATTTATGGATACACCTGGTATGATTTCCCCAACGGAATTCAAGCGATATAAATTAGCCAGCAGCTTCCGAACAGATCCCAAAACTTCTTTGAAAGCAGCAGACATTATAGGAATAGTACAGGATGCAGAGAACATATATACTAGACACAAGATTCATCCAATTATACTAGAATTATTAACTAAAAATATAAGAAATACAATTCCTATAATTCTAGTTATTAACAAAGTGGACAGAGTGAAAAAGAAGGAAATATTATTGGATCTCGTGAATACTTTAACTAAAAGCAAGCTATCTCCAGATTTCTATGATATATTTATGATATCTGCTTTGACTGGAGATGGTGTGGATGATTTGAGGGTAGATTTGCAACTTATAAATAATTAAACACAAATAACATTGATATAATAAAATAATTATAATTCTTAAAAATTGCACAATTAATTCTTATATTTGAAATATTTATATGATATGTACGTTACATTTTATTTTTACTTTTGTGTTTTATAGACTTATTTGTTAGACTCGGCTAAGCCGCGAGCTTGGGAGTATGAAGAACATATTTACAGCGATAAAACATGCGAGGACATAATACAGCAAACAGTGCGAGCAAAGCTAATGGACAGCCTACCAAATGAGATTCCTTATCAATTACAAGTGAAATTGGAACATTTTGATCCAGGACCCGACGATAATATTAAAGCATTGTTGTCCATTACATGTCCCACTCCACGTATCGCACGCTTGTTAATGCGTGGCAAAACTAAAACTAAAAAAATCAGTCAAATTGCCCGGATGGCAGAGGAAGAATTACGGCATGCTTTTCGAACATCAGTGATATTGAGACTACACATACAGTCTAAGACATAATTTGATTTATATATTTGTTATGTGTAAAATAAAGTTGACAAATAATCGAAATAATTTTTAACAGAATTTCTCTTTGCTTCCTGAAAATATTTTTAATTAAATTTTTTTTATATTTTTATGTTTTATGAATATAAATTCCTATGAATATCAAATTTTCAAGCAAAATTCTAAAAATTCTTGACCTAAGTGCTATTTTTTAATTGTTTTTTCCGACATTGATTTCTATGAAAACTCATATTTATACCTGATATTTTATTATATATTTTTAAATAAATTTTTACTGCTCAAATTTTTAGATTTAAAGTTTTAAAAATTTTTGATAAGTGCTATTTTTATTTAATTATATTCCTTTGATACTTTGTCAATATATTTTTGATAATTAATATTGAAATTAAAAAGTCGTATTTTTATAATGATGGAAAACTATTGATCATTAATAATTATTTATTTATTATTTGTTAAAAATTTTATGTTCGAATAAAAAATTAAATTTGAAAATGAATAACTTTTAATTCATGTCACATAAGTTTTGTTCAAAGCTACCAATTTATTTTAACTTCTTTAAACTTGGTCAGTCTACAAAAAAAGATTCCTTTTTTCAAAGAGAGTTATTCATCTATATCATACTTAATTTAAGAAAGTGGGGTTATATTAGCGATATGATCGCCATGAAATAAACGCGGGAAACCTGTCAATTTGCGCAGAAGTGGTTTAATAATGACGCAGCGTCGTATAGAGTGAGTGTATTTAATAATTATTTGACAATTTAACTTAATTCAAACTACTTTATGTGACTTATCGTTTAATTAATTATAATTTAGCAATCCTTTCATATCATCTTATCATCTTTTCATATTTGATTTTTGACATCCCGAATTTGTTTTATCCATGCAGTTCCTTCTTCACTAAGCTATCGTCCAAAAAGGAGAATTTAAGCCAGGATAATTCGAAGAGGTATGTTTCGTTAATAAACGTTAATAGTCTCTTTTTCGATTTTCTCTAGCATTTGATTATGCTAAAACTCCTTACTACATACTCGCGCTTGAACTCGCTGGTTCTGCCAGCTCGACAATTAGAGTTTGCAATCGCAGCTCGTAGTCGATTCCTTGTCATTTTTAATCGGATATATACAACTAACAGCCATGACTCGTCGGACAAGCAAAGCAATCAGGATGCATCGGAGAATGGTAAACGGAAAAGAGATAACAGTGATAGCTGTAACAGGTGATTAAGTTTAACAAATTTGTGATTTATTAATATTTTTAATTAAGTCATCAAAAGTTATATTGTTTTTAATATTGTTCTTGTAAATTGTTGCTGCCACAGTTCTCCTCCTTCGAAGAAAAAAGATACTAAACTTACGAAGCCAAAAACAGTTTCCAAAACTCCTTCGCCGGCTGCAAAGCCTCGTGCAAAACTAGGTAACTATACTGTTGAGTTATTGGATGTTTAAATGTGTGATATATTTCTGTCATTATTTTTTAAGGAATTACTCCAAAAAGTAAATCGAATAAACTTTCACCTGGAGCATCAAAAAAGACAGAAAAGAAAAAATTAAAAGATACATCTGGTGAGAAGAAAAAAAATGAAGCTATAGATAATACTATAGAAGAAAAAGTAAAAAGTATTCAAGTGGAGAATGACGCAGTTAAAATTAAAAATAAAGAGAAAAAGATGAAATCTGCTTTTTCAGAGACGAAGTCTGAGTCTAATAAGACAGAAAAGGTGAAGAAAACTGTGAAAAAGAAACGGGCCAGGATCATCGAGCCTGTTGATTCTAGTGATGGTGAAGATCATTTACCTGTAAGTTTAAACTTTTAATGCTTTTAATTTAATATGAAAAAACTTGCATATTATTATAAATTTATAAGTATTCATAAATTTTTCTTTTATGCATAATATTTATAGTTACCTGAAAGTCCAAAAAAATTGGAAGTTGAGGAGGAGGAGAAAAAAATTGAAAGCGCTGAGTCAAATGAAATAAATAAAAATGCTGTAGAAAATAATGGAGATAAAAGTGCTTCAGACAATGAAGAGAAAAATGAAAACCCAAAGGAACCTACACCTGAGAAAAAATTAAAAACTACTCCTAAGAAAATGCACAGCTTTTTTAGTAAGTCTTCAATAATTTAAAAATTTCAAACACATATTGAATTTTGAAACAAATTTGGATGAAAAATATTGTATAATAAAAGTTAAAAGTTTTATTTACATAGTTATTTGTATTGCAGCGTCCAAACTAAAAGACGATGCAAAGGATGACAAAACTAGCAATGTAAAAAGCAGCAACCAATCTTACAATCCTAGTACATCTGGCTATCATCCGATAAATGACGCGTGCTGGAAACGAGGAGATAAGTGAGTTAGAATGAAATTTCATGAGAATACTTTAGAAAACCGTAGAAAATGTTTAAAACAAATCTTTTTTTTTAAATTTGTTTATAGAACTCCTTATAGCGCATTCACACGTACTTTGGAGATCATTGAGGAGACGAGTGCAAGATTAAAAATAATAGAAATATTGTCGAATTATTTCCGATCTGTCATAGTCTTAAGTCCTGAGGATCTCCTGCCAAGCGTTTATCTGTGCCTTAATCAATTAGCGCCAGCATACGAAGGTTAATATTAAAATTAATTATTCAGAAAATTAAAAGAAAATATTTGTTTAAAACTACTTAGATTGTTGTTGATGTTTATTATGTTTTAGGAATTGAGCTTGGAGTCGCTGATACGAATCTGATGAAAGCAATTGCGCAGTGTACTGGTAGAACTCTGGCACAAATTAAAGCTGATGTCCAAGAGGTTGGTGATTTGGGAATTGTGGCAGAAGGTAGCAGATCTAATCAAAGAACTATGTTTCAACCGGCGCCGTTAACGGTTCCTAATGTATATTCTAAGCTAAAGGAGATCGCCGAGATGACAGGACACGCGGTAATCTATACAACTGTTATAATTAAAATTCTTTAATATTAATATATAGTTTTGAATTCAGAGAAAGAAAGAATTTATTAAATAATTAGAAAAATTGAAATCGAGAAATAAAGATTATTTAAAAAATATTAACTTATAAATTTAAAATGTCAAAAATTTTAAATTAATTTGTATTTAAAAATTGAACTAAATTTATTTTGATTTTAAATAAATAAATGAAAAAAAAATTGTGTGATATACTTAATTTAAAATAAAAATTGAATAATAACGAAAAACTAAGGCTCTAAGCACAGTAGAAGAAATATTAGGAATATTAACTTTTAAATGCACACTAGATAAATAAGAGCTAGATCATAAACTTATTTATTTATGTTGAATTTTTATTTCTAATTTTTTAAAATTTAATATTTATTCCTATTTCTAATATATTCTTTATTGTATGCAGGGCCTTAAATACATGCTTGAAGATAAAAAAATAATAAATTTTACATAGAATGAAAATTATTCTTTACAGTCTCTGGCAAAAAAGTTAGATAAGATTCAGACGCTATTTGTAGCGTGCCGTAATACAGAAGCAAGGTACCTCATCAGATCATTGGCCGGAAAACTTCGTATAGGTTTGGCGGAACAATCCGTTTTGCAAGTAAGTTTCTCGCAATATCATGCTGTTTTGGTTGATTAAAAATCTGAATTTTCTTAGGCATTAGCTTTAGCTTGCGCGATGACACCACCAGAACAAAGCTATCCACCAGAAGTTTTAAATGCAAGTAAAAAAATGACGAGTGATCGTTTCAAAGAGAAGTACGATGAAATAGCACTCATATTGAAAACAACATATTGGTAAGATTATTTAAAAAATATTATTAATAGATATTTAAACAATCAAATCAATTAAATGAAATAATATTTTATTAAATATATAATATTATTTCTCAATTTAAAAATAAAATATCGAATATTTTTTAGTTTTTTCTAATATTATATCTTTTCGCAGTGAATGTCCAAATTATAATCTTATAATTCCTGTTCTACTGGAAAATGGTATTAATGCCTTGCCGAATAAATGTAAACTTACTCCTGGAATACCTTTAAAACCTATGTTGGCGCATCCTACTAAAGGTGTTCAAGAAGTCCTAACAAGATTCGAGGGTTTGAAATATACTTGCGAATGGAAATACGATGGGGAAAGAGCACAAGTTCGCATTTATTTATTTTGCATTATTTAATTTTGCAAAGTCTCATAATATAATATAAATAATCTTTTAATACAGAAATAAAGAGGATAAAATATTTGAGAATTGGAAATCATAGTAATTTATATAAAATTTTTAAAGGATTATAAATTAAATATTACAAAATCCAACAGATTCACGTTGCGCACAATGGTCAAGTCAATATATATAGTAGAAATCAGGAGAACAATACCAGCAAGTATCCAGATATTATTAAGCGATTCAAGAATACTTGTGGTGATCTGGTAAAAAATTGCATACTCGATTGTGAAGCGGTTGCTTGGGATAACGAGAAAAAACAAATTTTACCATTCCAAATACTCAGCACAAGAAAGCGAAAAGTAATAATTACATTATATTACTATAATTGTCATAATTTGTTATAACCGAAATTATTACTAAGAATATAATTGATTTGATAAATATAGTGATGATTATAAATATATTAATAATTAAAATTGTTAATATATTTGTAACAAATTAAAATTCAAATTATAAAAATTTATAATTTATTATTATTTATAATTTATAATTTATAAAGATTTATAATTATAATATATTTATTATAATATATTATTGGTTCCCAATTTATTTTATCAGGATGCTGTTGAGGAAGATATCAAAGTGCAAGTATGCGTATTTATGTTTGATTTGTTATATCTAAATGATGAACCATTGGTAAAGGAACCATTCTCAAAACGTCGTGAGTTGTTGAGGCAGCATTTCAAGGAAGTGGAAGGTGAATGGAAATTTGCTAATAGCATGGATACTACAACGATAGAAGAAGTGCAGGTCTTCTTGGATGAATCTGTGAAGGGAAATTGCGAGGGTCTGATGGTAAAGACACTAGAAGAAGAAGCGACTTATGAAATTGCAAAACGATCGAGAAATTGGTTAAAGCTAAAAAAGGATTATTTGGATGGCGTTGGTGATACACTTGATGTGGTTGTAATTGGTGGTTATATCGGCAAAGGAAAGAGGACTGGCACTTATGGTGGTTTTCTCTTGGCTTGTTACGATCAGGAAAATGAAGAATACCAAAGCATTTGTAAAGTATGTTTCTGAAATATTTTCTTAAAGTGAAATCGAATATCATATCGTTCATTTGTTACAACAACGACATATCTCAAACAAGTTCCAGAAAATGAATTCAAATATTTTGAATCATTAAGATTTTGTTATTATTTTTGAATATGCGATTTTAGTGATTAATTGTAGAGCAATAAAAGAATCATTAGTAATAATTAATAAGTAGTAATTAATAAAAATATTAATTCTTCTGATTTAAGAGATTAGATTTTTTTCTATTTTGACTATTATTTTTACTTTTTCGTTTTATTGATCTTTATCAATGTATAGTGTTTTTTTATAGATCGGCACAGGCTTCAAAGAGGAAGATCTTGAGAATCATACTAAATTTTTCAAAGATCATATAATAGCGCAAGTCAAATCATACTACCGCTTCGATAGCAGCCATGAACCGGATCACTGGTTTGAACCGATACAAGTCTGGGAGATCAAATGTGCTGATCTCTCGCTCTCACCTGTTCATAGGGCAGCTATCGGAATAGTAAGTTTTATGGATTTGAATTTATTAGTTCTGAAATATTTGTATATATGTAAATATAATTCATAAATAACTTAAAAAAAATAGATATTGTATGACGTAATAATTCATTTTACTTTCAAAAATCTTGTATCTATATGGAAGAGCTTTTATTATTGGGATATTTTTGAATGCCTTGTATTTTTTTTAGCAACTGAGCTAAAATGAAGATATAATGTTTAATTTCTTTCATAAATTGTCTTTGATTTAAAAGAAAATGATATTATTTATGTTTTATCGCTATTCTGTTTAGGTTGATCCGGAGAAAGGAATATCTTTAAGATTTCCCCGATTCGTTAGGATTCGCATGGATAAGACCTGCGAGCAGGCTACTTCCGCTCAGCAGGTGGCGGACATGTACAATAATCAAGAACAGATTAAAAATAAAACTTCCACGAAAACCACAGAGGAAGATTTTTATTAATTTTTTTTTTATTTCACGATACATTGCATATATTATATACTTTTTGTAATCGTTGCTATTGTAAATAAAACATATTTGATATGGCAAATGTTATGTGATTTATATTTGTCTAATGATAATTAATTAATGAAAATTTTTAAAAATAAATTTGAAATATTTTTTGTAAAAACGACATCGAGAACTTAGCATTGTTTTTTTTTATTTTTTTTTAAATTATTTTGTTTGATTATTGGCATGACAAAAATTGGTGTTTCGCTTATGATTCTGAAACGAAAATATTTAGTGGATTAATGAAAATCCAGTATGATTGAAAGATCGTGATTCGATGGTATTCTAAAACAAAAGATATTTATGACAAAAGAAGAATTCAACTGCGATGTAAAGATTAAAAACAAAAGTAGAACAATGTATTAATTGTATAAGATCCTATTTGAATAAAACATATTTCTTTAACATATTTTTTATTCTAGATAATTTTTATTTCAGAACTTATGAATCACATGGTACGTATCATTTACAGCATATAATTTTACGCCTGGTAAATGTCTGGAAGAAACCAAAGACTAATCAATAGACATCATGATATTACTTTGTTAATTAATCATGGCTTTTAATAATTTATACACCTATCATATATATTGAGAATGAAGTGATTCACCCCAGCGATACGTGGTACTTTTTATCTAGAACACGCTTATCCATTTATCTTATATTTGCCAATGATAAAGCATCGGAACGTTGAGCCATGATACTCCCGTACTTGTCGACGTTCTCGATTGACTAACGTTCTTCTTGCATCGTGTCGTTTCAGAAATAATACGCAGATTGGTGAAACGTGACTTTGTGACGGAGGATATCTTCCGCAGGATACAAGAAGATGGCCACTAAGGGTTCTGGACCGCCGCTCGAAAAGCAAATCGGTTGCATCAAATTTACGATTTTCTGCTTGAACGCAATAATATGGGTGAGTGGGTGTGTGAATTTATCTAAATGATCGCATCGTTCTGTGAAATTATACCGTGATAGTGAAATGATGTTGTACGATCTATTTTAAATTTTAAGTAAATTGAAAAAAAAACATTTGAAATGAACATTTAAATGAAAAAGGGTGAACGAGAACAATTTGTATTACGTGACAATCATCAACGTGAAATTGGAAAGAAAAAAATTGAAAAATGTTTGTAGATGTAACTATTTTCAAAATTGAGAATTTATTTGAAAAAATTTCTTTCTACTCTTTTTGTTTAAAGAAAAGATTGAAATTAATTTTTGTTTAATCAAATAAGTGTAATAATTTTTATCTAAATAATTTTTTGTAAATATTTTTTTAGATATATAAAACATATTGATTGATGTAATTTCTTTTCAATAATTTGATCCTAACTCTTGCATTAATTTTACTTCTTATTGTTAGTACATATAGAAAACATCTTTGAATTAAATTATATTTAATTATAACGCAGAAAAAATTCAGACAAATAAATTATAATATTAATGTAATGCTACCGTTATTTTGTGTTTACTAAGTAATATGCAAAATTTTTATGCATTTTGACGAATTTAGATTCTCGGCTGCGCAATGTTCGGTTTATCCATTTGGATGCGATTCGAACCAATATTTGAAGAATGGGTGGAGTTTTTGAACATATACGAATTCTACATCGGGATTTATGTGCTGATTGCCACCTCGGTGCTCGTCATGGCTATCTCTTTCATTGGTTGCGCCGCCGCGCTTATGGAGCACGTCTTGACTTTATATACCGTAAGAATGTTTATCAATCAGTTTGATAATTTCTTCAAAAGAAACTAATTTGCAAAACGTTTAGAAATTCGATATTTGCAAATAAATCATTACCTTGAGAAAATAAGTCTCTTAAAATTTTTTATTATCTAATTCGAATAATGAATAAATAGTCAATAAGTTATAAGTTTAGTATTAAAGTTCAAAAGTTAATAATTTTTAACTTAAAATTAAATTCGTAAATTCGTATAAATAAGATGTCAAAATGCTTTCGTGATTTTAGCACGTGGGACTCCAAGCGTTCAGCTTCATCTGCGGTTTATCCGGAGCGGCGGTCATTCTCGATTATTCAACGTACGATAGTAAAATTCAGCCCATCATCGAACGATCCATGTATAATCTTATTAGCAACTCCCAACACGAGACAGCGAGCTTCATTCTGCGTGTGATCCAAGAAACTGTAAGGATCTTCTCTTAGAGAAGAAGAAAAGCACATGTTTTTTGAAATTATGTATCTTTTGATGAATATGCTAGGTTGGATGTTGCGGAGCCAATGGACCTAGAGATTATACACAAATGCGTAAACCATTGCCTACCGAATGTCGTGACACCGTCACCGGAAATGCTTTTCATCACGGCTGCGTCGAGGAATTATCCTGGTTTTTGGAAGCCAGATCAGGATGGCTTGCTGGTTTGGCGATGGCGTTGTGCATGCTGCACGTAAGAATTTCTTCTTTCTGAAAAAGATTTTCGTTCTCTTTTTCATTTATTTATTTTTTTTAAGAAAAAATATTTATAATTTAGATATTTATATATTTAATTCAACTAATTTTTTTCGTAGCTGTAATTTTTCTTTTTTTATCCAATAAAATGATAGTCTCATCGCCATTTTCCCCGCTGTTTTTGTACTAATTGTGTTTTTTTATTCCGATTATTGCAGGTAATTATAGCAGTGCTGTCATTGATACTTGTACGAGCGATTAAGAAGGAAGAGGAATCGATAACGTTCAAACGTTAGGCATTAATTACATCTAATGCAACAGTGACATGTGTAATTATAGTTCTTATGAGAACACAAAGAAAGGAAATTTAATATTAAATCATAATTTGACGAACATCTATTCCGAGAGTAACGCTATGCAGGAATATAGAATAGTAATTCGTGCTTTTTAATTTCTAAATTTTTAATTTAAAAAAATTTTTAATTTTTTGAGGAAAATATAACCTTTCAAATTCGAATTTACATTTAATTCAAGTTTGAAATGAAATGATTTATATTTTTATTATTACCTTAAGAAATTAATTGCATTTTAATTATCATTTTTTAATTGATTTGCGACAATCATATGCATTTCACTTTAATCGAACGTTTTCAATCATTTATTTTGTTCTCCCACATTAACATTTTTGTAGTTTTGTATACCTTTTTTTATTATCCTTTACATAAATCATATTTATAATTTAATCGCTTTTATAGAAGAAGTCATGTTTAACAAGAATTTAAATAGAAAACAGAGAATACATAAATAGAGAATAAATAAATTAAGTTGCTATTTTTAATAATTATAGAAGTATCAATATTTATTAAAAATAAGATATTATCTCTGATATTTAGTATAAAAATTATTACACAATGTATTAATAAGTTAAAAATAAAAGAATTATTCATTGTCATTATTATCATTTTATTACGCACTTTATGTTTTATTAATAGATTATTTAATATTTTTTCTATCTTTTTTCATTTAGGATTTAGATTTGTTATGATACACAATAAGAAAACTCACATTTTTCTTTCATTTATTTACAAAATACGCGGTACATAATATATGATATATATACGGTATATAATATACAATATATATTATAGTCAATAATTTATTTACAATAATGCCGTTTGATCGCGATCATCGCCGATGTTTTGCTTTATCAAATAATTCATTGTTACAAGTTTATAATTCTCTTCACCTGACATGCAATCGTGGCCGTGATCCTTTCATGTTCTAGTTGCAGTAATGTGCATTGGCAAATTGGACGTCATTACAGAATTACAATTACAGTGAAATTGCAGAACTGTTACTCTCATACTCTTAAAAATTATCGCGTATTTGTAACACTGTCATCGATCCTCTTTCAATATTATACGGATAAATTTAAAAAATTATTAGAAGCAATATTTTCTTATTAAAAATTTTACAAATAAAATATAAAAATATAATATTAAATATAATAAATATAAATTAAATATATATATATATATATATATATATATATATATATATATATACTAATAAATATATATA